TAAAATACTTACTGATGAAGATCAAAGGCCACAGTCTTCAGTGGAAAGAAAACAAAAATCCTCACCACTGGACCAATAAATAACATCAAGATAAATGGAGAAAAGATTGAAGTTGTAAAGACTTCATTTTGCAACTATCAACACTCATGGAAGCAGGAGTCAAGAAATCAAACGATGTATTGCATTAGGCAAATCTACTGCACAGGAACTTTTTCAAGTGTTCAAGAGCAAACATGTCAGTTTGAGGACTAAGGTGCACCTGACCCAAGCCATGGTATTTTCAGTAACCTCATCTGCATGTGGAAGTTATACAGTGAATATGGAAGATTGTAGAAGAGTTGATGTTTTTCAATTATGGTGTTGGAGGAGAATATTGAGAGTACTATGGATTGTCAAAAGAACAAACAAATGTGTGTTGGAAGAAGTACAGCCAGAATGCTCCTTGGAAGCCAGGATGGCCAGACTTTGTCTCTCCTACTTCAGACATATTATTAGGAGGGACCAGTCCTTGGAGAAGGACATCATGCTTGGTAAAGTGGAGGGTCAGTGAAAAAGAGGAAGACCCCCAATGAGATGGATTAGCACAATGGCAGCATCAGTGGGTTCAGGTGTAGCAATGATTGTGAGGTTGGCCCAGGACTGGGCAGTGTTTCGTTCTGTTGTGTATACGGTCGCTATGAGCTGGTATCGAGTCATTGGTGCCTAACAATAGTAACAACCCACTCACTGACCCTTCCTGGCCCCCTATCCTTTCTGCTCTTGTTCTGTCTTGCTCTAGCCAGGCCTGAGACTCAGGTACTAATGGTTGGTCTTGTTGACTCCCAAAGGCTGGGGGTTAATATCTCCTATCTCCCTTCCCCACCTGGATCCAAGGGACTGACCAGGGAGAAGAGGGGAGGTCCTGGGTTAGGGGGCAGAGACTGGAGCCCAGGGGATGGTTTGAGGGGAACATCTAGTTACTAGTTTAACTCTCTCCCTGTCCCCAAGTCCATACCGCAGTTTGCAGATGAACGGTGGAGGCTCACAGAGGTTGGGCATGTGGGCAGGCAGAGCTTCAGAGAAATAAATAGCTTTCTCCCCCACACAGAGAAAGAAAGACACCTTGGTTGGGCAGTGGTTAAGGCACTTGGCTGCTAACTGAAAGGTTGAGTGTTTGAACCCACCAACCAGCCTATGGAAGAAAGATGTGGCAGTCAGTTTCCGTAAAGAGTTGTTGTTGTTAGGGGCCATTAAGTTGGTTCCAACTCATAGTACCCCCATCCCCAATAGAATGAAGCAGTGCCCGGTCCTCTGCCATCTTCACAATTGTTATTTTAAAACCGATTGTTGCTGACCTTGTACCAGTGCGTCTCCATGGGGGTCTTCCTGGTTTTCACTCACTCTCTGCTGTACCAAGCATGAGATGTTTTCCAGGGACTCGTCCCTCCTGATAGTGTGTCCAAAACACAAGAGATGAAGTCTTATCGTCCTGGCTTCTAAGGAACATTCTGGTTGCTTTTCTTCCAAGGCAGATTTGTTTGTTATTCTGGCAGTCCATGGTCCTTTTAATATTCTCCTCCAACACCGTAA